CCAAAATGATAAAGAGGAGTTTCGTGGAGGGAACTAAATATAAGAAGTACAGCGCATCAGACTCTGAAATCATTTATAAATGGACAGCCACTTAAATAGCTGCAGACTACCTGATTGTGATCCTCATGAAAACGAAGATCATTGTTTGGAGACGTTGAGTAACGTGACTCAAAATCTGTCACAACAGCATCGAGTCATTCCTTCTTTGTCCTATCTTAGATCCGGGGTTCAATAATCTTACACATTTTCTTTCTATACTTATTTGTTTGTACTGTTGCTGCTTCTTCTACTTTGGGATGTTTTTTGAAAAATTTCATCTCACCGTACTAATTTAGTAAGGGATTTGAACCAATGCACATATATATCAAAATATTGGTCTAAAGAATTCAGTAAAATTCTATCTTTGCGAACTATAAAATAATACTTATTTTAAAGATTTTATTAACAGATTTTTGGATTGTTAAGTGAAAAAAATCCAGCTTTAATCAGTTATTATTACGTCCTTGGGCGTAATCAAACAATAGCTGCATACGAGACTAAATTAATAATCTAAGCCCCTCATTTGAACTGATATCAGAAGTCAAAACAGCATGCTTATATGCAAAATATTAAACACAAGAATAAATATGATTGAATGATTAAAGAATTTGAAAATTTTAGGTCATTTACTATCCAATTAAACTGATGGTTGATTATTGCCTCATCAGAGAGACAGACACAACGCAGAACTCCGTGCATATGTACATCAGTTCAGGTTGCCATACCACATCAGCACAGAGACGCAACTGTCAATTCAAATCCAAGAGTGATAGCGAAAGTAGAATTATTAGCAGCAATGGAGAGGATTAGGGAGCGAAGATATGATTTGAGAAGTATAATCCAGTAAGATAAATTTAGAAGGAGAAAGATAGAGAGGATGAGGGATCCAAAAGGTTAGAATTAGAGAGAACACAAAGAATGGATGCACTTGCGCCATTGCAAACGATTTCGAGCGATGTCGTTCATCGTCTCTAACCATTGGTGACTTTCGTCTTGCGGACCCCCCAACCAGGTAGCCTACATCTACCAACATGATTCAGTCCACTTGTCAGTGACTTCATGGATTTGTGCCATGTTTTGGTCTGGCCGCCCCTAACTTTCTTCCAACCTCCTCCTACACTACAAAACATAGCTCGTTAGCAAGCGGAAAATATCTCAGAGATCTCCACACTGTGCTTTCCATCTGCTATTAATGAATTTGTTCATTCAGTATATTATGTAAACTTACTGGATTTCTTCTGATCCTAGAACTCTAGCATAAGAGAACATTACAATAGACAGTGATCACGAAACCTACTATTAATACCTAATCATTTTATTAATTAATTTACTATTTTAACGTTAATATCTATACCATCTCTAATGTTTTCACTTAATCTTGTTAATATTAACAGTTGGTCATTTTTGTGACTGATTAATTGACAGATGTTGTTCTGTCGTAAAATAATAATTTTCAGATTTTACCCCTTTTTTTATACACAAATATCAATACTTAGTTGGTAAAACAGATACGTATATATATATGTGTATACATTTGAACAAAAAGGAAAACTAATCATAAGTGTTCAAATTCTAACAAAGTTACTTCCAAGTGTTTTACAAAAAAGAAATACTTGATAATCATCAGTTAGACATTTAACTAATTGCATTCAAAACAGGTGTGTGTGTGTATGTATGTATGTATGTAAGTATTTAGTGAAGAGGATTGGTTTGTAAAGACTACTTTTTATTGCCTCTTGTATTAGTCTGAAATTAATAAAATGAACCTAAGAAATGTGTTGGTAGGTGGTGCAAACTGCCTGATTAGAATTAGTATGATTAATTTTAACCAGTAATTGAAGATGATGTTCAATAATATAGTTGCGAATTGGTTTTAATGAAAGAAACTTTATACTACACTTTGTACAACTCTCTTTTCTTAAATGATATTATCGAAACTTAATGCTTTTTACTACTACTGATAGTGTGTTCTGGGATTCTTCTTGATCATTTCATATCAATGTGTTGATGTAGTGAAGTGACTTAAACCGGCGATGGTATATATGCCAGGTTCTGCATTGTGTGTAATTAACTGACTAAGAGCATATAGGTCATGATTATCTTATGAACAAAGAAAAATTTTATCTAACAACTTGGTCGTTAATAATTTGAATTGCGTACTCATGTAAATTATTTCAATCAGGTTGCTGTAAAGGATTTCTGGAATTCGAATGATGCCATACCATGTGTAAGGTTTGATGTTGGTTCAGTTTGACTCGAAGTATCCTATCAATCATCATTACTCGTCAGTTAGGTTATAATTATTTTAAACTGTGGTGCGCGCTACTTATAAGTAGTATATGACGTGAGTGTCAACGTAATGTCTGGCAGCAGAAGATGGGGGAAGATCAAGAAAGGAAGAGTTAGAACACAATGAAATTTGTATGAAACGCATGAATAGTGACAATGGATTGATGTTTTGCAACAGGAACAGTCCAGTTCGATATGATGAACTGATATTTTGCAAATTAACGATTCACGATATGGTTTTCCAATTTTACTGAGTAACAATCCGGTTGCCCCACCTGTGTTCTCGTTCACTACAAAACAACTGTTAAGAATTTTTAGTTAATTTCATATTCACAAATAGTAAATACTTCACACGTTAGTTTATCAGAAATATAAATATTGATTATATTTGCATTGTGACCAATGGGGGAATCCATCATGCACATTTCAAACTTCGCTTTGAATAACTTTAATTAGACAACCATTAAAAACCAGTAAGTAGTGAATAGTTGTTTCCTTCTAGTAGTAAACGGCTTTGCAGTGTGCATCCATCATTCAATGAAGAATTAAACATAAGACCTCTAAACAAAGCTCTTAACCTTTAGACCACTATGTCGGTATCCAATTGTTTACTCATCTAATTCGCGATATTTTTAAATCATTGTCTAGTATCATTAGTACCTTACATCGGACATAGTTGAACCCCACCAATTACAGCTTTTCAACAGAACACCAGTAATCTCCTTTCAAAACAACTAGGCACATATTGATTATTATTATTATTACAGGGCATTATGACTGTTAAATTTAAAGTTGCATATGAGAAGCTGATTTCTCTCATTCTCTCTTTATCAATTATTATAGATAGATAGCAGCATTGTTTTCATTCCTTTTAATCTCCTTTTTATTCTTAATACTTCTTTACTGTTTTTTTATTTCTTATTAGTTTAACCGCCTTAAATGTAAGTTCTTTTATTGATTGATTAGTCGTTGTGCACACATACATACATACACATCCAATCATATGTATCAAATTTGTCTAAATTCTTGTCCTGTCCCATGTAAATATATTTACATATATAAATATCTATCTATCTATATCCCATACAATCTTTATCACTCTTACCTTTTTTTTCACTGTACAAATGAACTGAGAAAATTTATGTAGAAAAATTCAATGAACTAGTTTGAAAGTTTAATTATTTCTATTTCTTCTGGTATTTTATAATAAATAAATTGTTATATTCATATTATATATCCTTTCTATATTCTATACATACATATAAAGATAATAAATTAATATATTTTCTATTTATTTCATTTTCTAAGAAATTTCAAGTGATAAATTATAGTATAGAAAAGTATGAGATATGATGTATATCATTGTTGAATTGTTTTGCTTTCATTTTGAAATAATGATAAGATTGAATTCATACTAACAAAAATTATACTCACAAAAAAAAACATGTCATACATTGATTAAGATTAAAGTTTCAATAATATGTTCAACTTTCAAATACACTGCTACTGCTATTGTTACTAAGCACGCAATATTGTCTTTAATTGTTAACATTATATTAAATTTTCGTATGTTGTTGTTGTGTAACGTCAGTAAGGTGTATCCCTCAGATAATCACCACCTGCAGCCTCAAGTAGTTGTTATTTTGGACTCTCCGGTCACACTGTCAAGTCACCAAGATCAACGCTAACCCAACTTCTTTTTCAGGTTCCTCAAGATATATCCTTCCACGGTATGAGAACACCCGGGAAGTGACATCCGTCCTCATACCCCTAACTGCACATGAGATGGTGCTGTGAGCACCAACTCAAAAATCTATGATGATTATATTAATCAGTCAGTCAGCTGCAACGTAGAACTTCGTACGTATGTACATAAGTTCATGTTGCCATACCGCATTAGCATACAGACGCAAACGTCAAATCAAATCCCATAGTGATAAAGATAGTAGAAGTATTAATGGTAATGAAGAAGACTAGGGTTTGAAGATATTGTTCAAGAAGTAGAATTCAGTGAGATAAGGTTAGAAAAACAAAGGTGGAGGTGCTGACGATTCCAGAAGATTAGGATTTGAGAGAGCTCAACGAATGGATGCACTTGCGCGATTGCAAACGATTTTGAGCCATGTCGTTCAAGGTCTCTAACCATTGGTGACTTTCGTCCCGCGGAACCCAATCAGGTAGTCTACATCTACCAACATGACTCAGTCCACTTGTCAGTGACTTCATGGATTTGTGCCATGTTTTGGGTTGGCCGCCCCTAACTTTCTTCCGACCTACTCCTACACCACAAAACATAGCTTGTCGAGGCAGTCGGTGGTTAGGTATTCGTAACACATGTCCCAACCACCTCAACTGATGAAGTTTCACCACTTCATCTATTGATCTGCCATCCTTATGTAGCACCCTTTTCCTAACGACAGCATTGCTTACTCGGTTGTCCCATGATACACGATCAATGCTTCTAAGACATCTATGATTGAAAACTAGTAACCTACGAACATCTTCTACTCTTAACGGCCATGTTTCGCATCCATATAGGAGAACGGAGCATGATTATATATATATATATATACGTGATTACTATTTTATATCTATATATTATAGTTTTGTTACTCTTATCAATCACAATTTAATTTACCTAATTAATTTTTATTCCTCTTTTTTCACAATAGATTTCACTGAAATGTTCATAGGTTCAAATCGATTTCTTATCAATATTTATACATATATAATAATCTTATTGTTCATTTTCATTCACTATAAATATTCTTATCATAATAATGTAAATGCTGAAAGTTTTAAACCACCACCTTTAGCATATAATCAGCATCATCAACAACCACAACAAGATTCATCATTATCAAATAATCATTATATTGATAAATCAGATTTATCACAGAATATTAACAATAATGAAGATAATTTCAAATCATGTATATGTTGGAAATGGCCAAATTGTGTTAGTAATTGTACAATTGGTAAGTATTATTATAATTGCTATACTTTAATCTTGGTTAATAATTATTAATAAAAGTGTTATGCTTCCCACTCGTTAATATGCTTGAAACTATTACGAGTTCACCTTAGTTGGTAGATGAGAGGGAAGACAAATGATCCAGTGACACGATAGGCTACTCTAATCCGAGCGTCTCAAGGCCCCACTAAGTAGAGGGAAAAGTCTTGATAAGACGTAGAAAGTGTATTCTACAAGCACTCAGAAAATCGACGTTTTCAAGCACACATCGAGTTTATTTATACATGATAGAAATGTCTTTGGGAGAGTCTCAAAAATAGCGTACTTAAATATTACATCAACCGATGACAGTCAAGGATTTTCCGAGTGGGAAATAATAATCTCAAGGTCAACTGATCAGCCCATGCGCTAAAACATAAAATCCACAATTACGACCATTATCCTGTAAATTCTGAGTATCTAACGTGCCCAACAAATTGAAAACTGTCATTTGTAAAGATTTCAATGATTGGAATTGTAACAATTTTGATGTGTCACTCAATAGTATAATTCAAGTTTCTTCAGCGCAAAATCAATCAATCATCATCATCATTAAAATGATAGATAATTTTCACTTGGTTTCAAAACTCTCCATTCAAATTCAGGCGAAAGTTCTCATAAATCTTAGTTGAATTGTTTTGTAGCAAAAATATATTTCATCATGTAGAGGGTAACATTAATTTAAATATTGTGGTGGTGTTTCGTTCTCTTAGCTGGATGTTTTGGTTGTGAACCTTTCATTGTTCTTCTGAACAACATCATCAGTACAAACTTCAGATAGAAGTGAAGTATTCGAATTTCTCCACGTTTGGCCCGTATCTTGTTCTGTTAACCTTGATGTTGATTGGTTGCTGTTGACCTTAAGTCTGTCGTCGTTTGCACTTTTGTTTTGATTGTATCCCACACTTGATGTTGATCATAGGATCAAGAAACAGATCAAGCTACGAGTCGAACGTGGAGAAATTCGAATACTTAACTTCTATTTGAAGTTTGTGCTGATGCTGTTATTCAGACGAACAATAAAAGGTTCACAACCAAAATATCCAGCTCAGAGAACGAAACACCACCACAATCATGCATCTAAGCTACAAATTTTCTCCACCATCTCAAAATTTAATGATTGAAAATCAGTATAGTAGAGTTGGTTGTGTGAATGAGTCTTAATTTTAAGTGGAATAATAATGCCTTTTCAATGTATTCTCTCCAAGATTTTGATTTCATATCAAAATTTCAAAAAAAAAAGAAATCATTTGAATAGATTTATTTTTTATTTAAACACATAATTCTTGATACATAAATCAACTCCTAACTGAGTAACCTTTTTTTGAACCGCTGTTTTATTCTAGTGGAATATATTGTTTATTTTTTTGTTCATTATTTCACATGATTTTACACAAAATGATCTCTATCTCTATGCAACAATGCATGTCATGCAATGAGTACTAGTATTGTTTTGTCTTAATTTTTTTTTTAGAAAAAAAAGACATTTCTGACTAAAAACAAAACAGAATCTGATATGTATCGTAAAGGTGTTGAATTTCATTTCTGCAACTTAATTTCAAATGTATTTATCGGTTATTGTTTGTTTTTTGTGTTTTTTTTTCTAAAGAAAAATACCTTAGATTACAATTGAACAAATGGTTATTAATTTTGTTATTCAATTTATTAAATATTATAGTTCAGTTTTAAAAATTACTCGTGAATATATATGTATATATTTCATGCATACATTTTGAGGTTGTTATTCTAAATTTACCTCACTCAATTATACTTCTTGAATAACATCTTCGAACCCTAATCTTTCTGATTTTACTACTAATACTTTTTCCTACCTCTACTACTATGGGATTTGAATGGACAATTGCATCTCTGTGCTAATGTGGTATAGTTTTAGTGAAGAAGAACACAGGTGAGGACAACCAAATTGTATTTAGCAAAAATTACAGAGTTAGTAAAATTGGAAAACCATATCGTAAATCGTTCATTTGCAAAATAACAGTTCATCCTATTGAACTGGACTGTTCCTGTTGCAAAACATCAATCGATTGTCACTATTCATGCATTTCATACAAATTTCATTGTTTTCTAACTCTTCCTTTCTTGATCTCTCCTCATCTTCTGCTGCCAGACATTACGTTGACACTCACGTCATATACTACTTATAAGTAGCTCACACCACAGTATGACAACTTGGATTGATGTACTTACGTGCAAAGTTGTACGTTGCTGTTGATGATGATTGATGATTTTGAGGTTAATAATTTACGATTGAAATCATACTAGTATGTTTCATTCGCTAATCAGTGTTGTTTTTTCTGTTTTACATGTTATTGTTCATGCTCTCTAATTCCACTAATCATTTACAATTTTCTTGTACTCTAAAGTTTGTTTAACTGATAATCATGTGCACAAGTACTTACTTACTTACTTGCTTACGCCTGTTACCCCCAATGGAGCATAGGCCGCCGACCAGTTTTCTTCAACCAACTCTGTCCTGGGCTTCCATTTCCAGTTCTTTTCAGTTTTTGTTCATTCTCATGTCTCTCTCTATTTCGCGGTGTAATGTGTTCCTTGGCCTTCCTCTTTTCCTTTTGTCTTGAGGGTTCCATGTGATGCAGTTGGGTGCTTTTCGCACAAGTGATTTTCCCCTATTCATTTCACTAACAATCGTTTGGATAATGGAATTAGGATTATTGGGAGTTTTTTTTTCTTCAAAAAATCATGCACACATACTCGATGCTTTTTTCATTAGCACAATAGGTTGATAGTATTGTATTAGCCTTCGACCATCATCATCATTCTTGTAGTAGTTATCTGTAATCCTCATTAGAAAAAATGCTCATAATTCACTTTGAAAAAGTTGATATTTTTGTTTGCCAAAAGAATGTCTTTAATTTGCCTTTGTTAAGTTTGCCTTCTCAACTTAATTGAATAGAATATGGATATCAGTGTTATATTTTTGATAAATCAGATTTCGATGTTTATTTATCAAGTTATTTAATATAATAAGTCAGCTATTTTTATAGAGATTAGTTTTGTCTGTAGATTGAATCGCTTCGCGACTAATTGTAGATTTTCATTTATCGAAATATGTCAAAACTTGGTTGTGTATACTCCACTGCTTGTTTTTTCAGCTTTTTTATTACAGATGAATATGAGTGTTATTATTATTTCATAATATGATTTTAGAATCGGTCACAGGAGCGCAGAAATGCACTCATTCTGTTTTTCTCCCTAGATATTGAGTTCTAGTATTCCTCCATACATATATGATATACTTTCTCATTGTATTTTTCAAAACAATATTCTTAGTTTTTTGTCTTTTTCGTCATCATTGCTAACACATTATTTCGATCCCTTCACCAATGATCTCTGTAATCTCATCTCATCCTACACTATGGTGGGATATGGCAACTCGGGCAAACGGATATACAATTCAAGTTCTCTATTTTCCATACTTCTAACTGCCCAATAATATTCATTTCTTATGAGCTATATTTTTCTGTTAATCGTACCATTACCATTGATGAAATATTATTTTGACTTTTTTGTTTTGCCGTATGAGTTAGTGCAGTGCGCAGAAGTACATTCTGTCCTAGTTTATAGCTGTTAAACGTGACCTTAGAAAAATAAATGTTTATCGATTACTAGTCAGTCAGTCAGTCAGTAACAACATAGAACTCCGTACGTACGTACATCAGTTCAGGTTACCATAGCACATTAACACAGGCGCAAAAGCCAGTTCAAATGCCATAGTGGTGGAAATAGTAGAAGAATTAGCGGTATTGAAGAATATTAGGGATCGAGGATATTATTCAAGAAGTATAGTTCAGTGAGATAAATTTCAGAAAGAGAAAGATAAAGATGATGAGGAATTCTGAAGATCAGAATTTGAGAGAACACAAAGAGTGGATACACCCGCACTATTGCAAACTATTTTGAGTCATGTCGTTCGAGGTCTCTAACCATTGGTGACTAGTATTCGATCGTAGCTTCTTTCAGAGCCGTGTTTGTACATGTTGGTACCACCGAGTTAAGAATTCTAAAGTTTGATTCAGGATATTAGATAAAGACGGCAAATTGAATCTTTATTTATTGAGCTGGTTGGAAGATGTATTATGCATGCTTATCCAGAAAGCTAGGGACGACGAAGTAAAGACTTGGTATCCATGAAGAAACTTATCAATCAATTGAGGTTCAAACTACCTGACTGGAATCCACACAAACATCATAACAAGTTGTTAGAGCCTTCGGGCAACAGATCAGAATCAGTCGTAATGTAACAAATGATTCACCATTTATCAATTCTTTCAATCTTAAAGTTTTTAATTTACCTTATAATTTTTCTTTTCTATAATCATTCATATCTTCCTCATAAATTCTAACAGCAAATGATTAGTTGTATAATTTGAAAAAAATTGCAATTATCTATGCATGTTTTTTAAGGCCGATATTTCTATCAGATATTTTTCTATGTATGCATGTTGTTCTTCTTTTAAAATTCACTAAATTTATCAATTGAATCGGTCGTCATTTGTACAGGTGCACACATAAATACATATATATACACCAATGGATAATAATTGTGATATAAGCAAAAGTGAAATTACACAATCGCTTAAAATCGAAACTGAAAAAGAAAAAGATGAAAATATTTCCACCACCGCCACCACCACCCTCCCCCTACCAACCATAGAATTTTGTTCATCTATATTTTTTTCTCCAAAGAATGAAAAAATAAATAGACATATATATATCTGGGTGGTCGTTTGCATATTTATCTATGTAGATTAATTATTAAAAGTACCAAATTTATTGTTTCTAAAGAATTTTTTTCATTAGTAAGTAGTACATTGTCGAAGAAAAAAACAGGACAAAACTAAAGCATCCTAATGAGATGCTTGTCTTGTTTGTTTCCGACCAACTATGTATGTGTATATCTAAGAGTATTTAGTGTTTTATCTT